TTATGGTTTATACTTCATACCCACCTCATATTAATTTCAATAAGACGTGATTTGATCGATCTCATCTGTGGCTCCAGCCCCAATTATTTGTACGGATTTGCTTAGGTGATGGATCCGGGTAGTTGGATACATGGCATCAATGGGACCAAATTAGGCAAGGCCCGTCGTAATGCTTAACCACTTATATTTGTATGGGTCACCACTTGCCACTTTAATGGTAGTTTTTTACTTTTTTTTAACCATTAGGTTGGCGTCACAATTAAATCTGTTCATGGGTCAAGCTAGACTTTGCATTTGTATTAGTAGAATATATTCAGGCTCGAACCCAAATCTAATCTGATCATTGGGTTTAAATCTTGAGCTCGAGCCCAATTCTTATATAAACCTTGAATCTTAGGTATTAGTTTGAGTTCGGCCAAAAATTTGAAAAAATGTATTTTTTTCTTTTCTTATTTAATAAAATAAGTGTTTTATTTATATTAAAAAACTTTAAAACTCAAAAATAATAAACATCTTATTATTACTTAAAAAAAATAAAAGAATTATAAAAAAAATATTGTATATATTTTTTATTAAATAAAATATATTTTTTATTATTTAATATATAATATCATGTCAAGTTCAGACTTGAACTAGACTTTATTGAAAAAGCCCAAACTCAACCTAAAAAAAGTCAAACTCAATGCTTTAATTTCGAGTCCAAACCTGTGAACCTAAAATTATGACCAAACCCAATTTATAAAAAAACAGACCCAGACCGGACCGAGACTATCCAGCCCATGAACAGGTCTCGCAGAACTCACAAGAGATGCTATCATGCTGGCCAATTCAAGTGGGCTGTGGTCCCACACTCCCATGTGGGTTCGGTGTTGAGTAAATTTCAATCTAACGTGTTGGTCCGTTTGTATTTCTGATTTCTTCATTAATGTGTTAAATATAAATTAAAAAAAAAAAAGGTTACGATTACAGCTAAACGTGGATTGAACTGTCTTTCCTTATTATAATTACTAGTAGGGAAAACTATGCAGCCAGCAGGAAGAGATTTGACTAATCAACAATGGCGAATTTTGATTAGTTATATCATTATGATATTGATATGGATACCGATTCATTGGTTACAACATACAAGTTATTCTGGTATCGGGTACACCCAAATCGGATCCGGTACAAGGATCCATCATTGAAAGTCAGAAGTTCTCGTGATCAGATTTATGACAGCCTTAGATAAGACTAAAAGATATCTCTTTGGATTGGATAAATATAATAGATTGCAAGTACCCTTGTTCCACTAGTACTAGCAAAAATAAAAAAAAAAAAAGAAAAGAAAAAAGTAGCGTAGTTTGATCTGGATAGTGGAAGGCAGCGTGACATGCAATCGGTCTTTGGGAGTTACATACACAGCCCAAAATTTGCGACTTGTGAGTACGCTGTACGCGTTTGACGATCAGAGCCGTGGGATCCACTTGAGAAGAAAACATTACATGCAACAACACTGAGCAATCAATTAGTTATAAAGATCCAAAACCAGGATTCCGTTTCAGTTGGGGTACTTGCTTGTTTTTGTGTCTCCTCAGCCACAAGATTCAAGATTAGTTTAGACATACAATAAGTATCAACTACAGCACAGCAAGCAAACCGCCTTTATTTTCCCAGCAGACTAGACGTGATGGGGAATAACTGAACGGGGAACAAACCTACAAAGGGAAAAGCTAAGATGACTTGGTTAATTTCGGATCAAGAGACGGATAGGTCTTTTGTTTTTCTTTTTTAGTGGGACCCATATGGGCGGTGGGCCCAGACATGAGACCTTCTTGGCTTCTTGCTTCCAAAGTGGATAAAATGGTAATTTGGTCAATTACAAATCACGTGGAAAAGCGGGGAGGCACTCCTAAAGGTCTTTTATCGTTTAGTAAGACAGAATTATTTACTGCAAAAAAGCTTCTAAGATTAGTTAATGATGAATAATAAATATAATGGAGAGAGAATGGCGGGTGTGTGCTCTTCACTCCTGCAGAGATTTTTGGTAAATTACAAAGCCCCCCCCCCCCGGTATTATGGGGCTAGTGATAAAGACCCTTGGCTGTTAAACAAATAACTTTCTTTATTAGTATTCCGTCAATTAATTTCAAAAAGATTTACATCTGATTATTTAAAGTTTTCTAAATGTCTAAATTACCTTTTTCTAATTATTTAAAGTTTTCAAAATGACGATGCCGGTTGACTCCGTTGCAAGGAATGGGTCTAGAAGAACAGAGGAGAGGAAGGAAGAAGAGACTGGGAGGGAGAGAGAGAGAAGGGAATGTTGCCGCTGCAACTACTAACAGCAGCGGTGGGCGTAAAGCATAAAGCATACCTTCACCACGGTACAATGGAAGTTTATCTCCATGACCACGGTGGTGCAAATAAGTAACAAAATTCAATCTCAATTCAGAAAATAATTTAGATTACTTCATATAATCGGAGAAGAGAATTCTTGTAAGAGTTGATCATGACAAGGCAAGTTAAGGCATGAGTTAAAAATGAAGAAACTGAACCTACCCAGTATGGAACTCCATAGATGTTAAGCATTTGGATAGTACCGATTGCAAAGGACAATTCCACCATTGCTCCCCAACAGAGCGTGGACGTGATCATATCTTTCTTCTCATGAGCGACAAACAAGTCGCTGTCTGGATGGAAGTGTGAGCTTGACTTTTCGAGACTTCTATTCTACTGTAACATAATTAAATTAAAAACAGAGAAACAATAGGAAACGCATATATAAGTTGATCTAATGGATTCTGAAGCAATCAGGAAATAGCTAATTTACCAGCAGATAGAAGGAAATGCAAGCATTGGAAAAGGTACCAGAAATGCAGCCTTCGGGTAATGTCCAAACTCTTGTAAAGGAGGAGATAATCAAATATAAATAAGAAATTAATAGCGAAAAAACACCAAGAAAACAAGAACGGAGAAGAATTTAAAGAAAGAAAGAAAACAAGAGCAAACAATAGGCCAGTATAGAAAATTAATTGATGGGATGCCATGATTCGTCATTCTCAACATGCCCGTGGTTTTGATGGTGAGTCTTGTTGCTTATTCTCCTGCAATGTCATCACAACACAATTCGTTGAATCCCAGAATTCCTAGAGTTGATATTTAAGTTCATGAGATCTCTCAAAAAAGAAATAGAGCTATCAAAATAATACCAGACCACATTGTTTAGCTTTGGTTTTTTGGAGAAGCTCCCAACCATACTATTTAACTTTGGGTTGTTTGAGAAAATCCCAAGGCTGCTGTGCAATCCAAAACTCGTTCTATAATACTAAAAAGAATAGAAGCAGGAGGTCCCAATCATGGCCAAGTACAAAGAAAGTGAAGAACATGGTTCCCTGCTCAGCCAGGTAAAGCAGCCAAACAACCCAATTGTTGCTGTAAGCTGTAGCTGCCGCCAATCCAAAGACGACAGCAATATCCCTAACGACGAAGCTCATAGACTGCCATGTGTTTATGAACAGTTCAAAACCAGAAGAAAATGAAGAAGAGAAAATTCTCATTCATCAAAAAACCAGCTACTAACAGTAGCTTACATGAGCTTATATACAAAACGAAGAGAGAGAACTAACAGAAAGAATAACAAACTTTGTAACTAACACTGCCACCTCATCATGAAATGCCAGCTCACTAAAACTAACTAATTAATTCTCTAGCTCACTTAACAAAATAAATAACTAAATAAATGAGCTACACTAAAATTACAGCAGCTATACAGTTTAAGAATGGCAGCTCGAACTTCAGCCAATCAAAACGGAATGGGGGCACTAGGATCAAATTCATCGAACTTCATCGACGAAATACGCGAGGGAGGAGTCCTAAACCACATTCTGATAAAACCCAACTCACTAGAAAATTCATTATTGTAAAGCTGAATATATTGCAATTTCGAAGTGATGCTGGCATTTCTCCGCTGAGATGTTTGGAGAAAAGCGACACTCCTAGCAACACACCACTAGAGATTTTTTTCCTTGCCGGAGATTTTTTTTTTTGTTTTTCGGTGATGATCATCGGTGGAAAAAGTTAGATTTCTCATTGCCAGATATTTCTTGCCAAAGAAAATGAGATTTTTTTTTTCTTTTTGGCGACAAGTAAAGGTATTCCGAGGTCAATTAGGTTTTTAGAGAGAATGACAAAAAAAAAAAAAATAGAAAAAGTTTAATAGGGTATTTTGGTAATTTGATGGCCGAGGGGGTCTTTGTTTAACGATCAAAGTTCAGAAAGGTCTTTATCACAAAAAAAAAGTACAGGGGTTTTTATCACTGACCCCATAGTATAGGGGGTTTTTTGTAATTTATCCTTTTTTTTTCTTTCATTGCGGGCTTGCAGCGATGAAAATGGAATGAAGAGAGAGAGAGAGACTGAAGGAGAAGTCCAGCAATAAAGCTTGAGCTCTACGTTTCTGGGGAGTCTCTTCACAACATATTGGAAGGAAAAAATTTTGCTTTGCTGTGATGTTTAGTCGGGGTCGGCCATTACAATTGTTTCTCTAAAGAGGGGCTCACTCTGCTTCATAGCTTCATCTGTTATTTTTTTAAGTCTTTCGGTTATTATTATATGTTTCTTCTCTGTCTTTTAGGCTTTGTTGGTTCTTCTCTCTATCTTTGAGTTCAGAGACATTTGCTTCTTCCACTCGCATTGACTAAGCAGCAGAATCGAAGTGACCTCTTTCTGTTGTCTTCTTTACCCATTAAGAATATGGACTTTTATGGCCATGTCTTCTCCTTCGTCCTCATTCCTCACTCTCCTCCTCGCTGTTGAATTAAGCTGAGAAATTAAAATTTTACGCTTGGTGTTTCAGAAAGTCTTCTTCTGGTGTTAAAAACCGTTTAGTTTGAGTGGTCTTTTGTCTTTGCTTTTGTACTCAATGATGGAAGTTTTCTGTAATCTCGAAGTGGATGTTAACGGGCAAGAGATCTTCTTGGTGGATAAGGTAATTATACTCTCTGCTCTTTCTTTTCATTTCTTTTATTCTTTGGATAGTCGCAGACTTCTTTTTCCTTCTCTTGATGTCCTGTTTGATTCGATTTAGTCTGCTTGAATTGGGTCTGTTGTTTGTAACTAGTTCTTGCACTGTGGATGCTTCTGCTTGTTAGTTTAGATGCAGAAAAGGTTTTCTTCTCCGCTTGTTTTGTTGTTTTCCAGCCACGAAGCCTTTGCCGCTTTTGACCAGTTGTTCATGAGAATTCTAATTCTATTTCCCCCCTTATTTTCCCTCTTTCTTTGGATGCTTTTGTATAGTGCATTTGTTCTCGTTAAATCTAGTTAAGTTGCATCTGTATTACAGGAACATGGTGCTCTTAAATTTTTTTCCTTTCTTTTCGTTTTCTTCCTTCCAGTTAGAGCTGCATCATTTTGTCACCATTATTTTCACAAAACAGGGTGCTAGCTGGGCTTCATTTTTCTTTTTTCCTACTAATATCTTCTTTCATCCTGTTTATTTCTCTTTCTTGGTGAATAAATGTTCTTACCTTTATTATTTGCCTTCACTCTTTTTGAGTGATATTGGTGTTGCTACCGCATTATTTATTGCTACTTCCTAGCTCATCTTTTTTATTCTGGGATGACAAACAGACATCTTTTCCTGATCACCCTTTCACAAATTCATTATTATAACGACGTCTCACCATTCGTTTGCAGGAATTGGTAAAATTATCCTTCCATCATATGTGTATTTATGTAGGCCTATGTATACATTTGGCTCTTGCTTATTGAATTTCCGTGCTTATTCTATTGTTGCTTTCGAGTTGCTCTGTTTTGTAGTATGTACCTTATGTTTTTATCGAGCTCATATTCCTTTTCTAGAATGACCTGTTTTTTTTTTTTTTTTCATTTCTCCTTTAACAAATTTATTATTCATAGTTCTCTTTTGTTTCGATCCGTTCTCATCTGACTTTATTACCTTATGGGTACTTGCAGAAAATTATTTTATCGTTCTCGGGTAGATTAAGAAAACTATTTGGTAAATCTATGAGCAAGAGCAGGAATGACAAGGTCATATTCCATGACTTTCCAGGAGGAGCACAGGGTTTTGAGCTCATGGCTAGGTTCTGCTATAATAATGGCAGAATAGAGGTAACTCCGTCTAACATCATCCTATTAAACAGTGTTGCCCATTTCATGGGAATGGCTAAAGACGTCTCGGGAACCCAAAATTTAATCGAACAAACTGAGAAATCCCTTGAAGGGATTCCCGACTGGACCTGGTCTGAGATTCTTGTAGCTTTGAAGCAGTACCAAGATTTTCCTTTGGTAGAAAACTCTTCAGCTATACTTCAGAAATGCTTGGATTCCCTTGTACCAAGGCTGGCTATGTCTAGTGATGTAAGCCCCTCTACGTCTTCCCCTGACAGCTCTGGTTTCCGGCTTTCCTGCGATACCAGAAGCACTGAAAGCATGAAGAATAGTTTCTCAAGGGCAACTTGGTGGTTTGAAGATTTTGTGGTTTTGCACCTCAATTTGATTGAAAATTTGATAAAGGCGATGATTGCTCAAAAGTTCAGTCATGTAATTCTAAGTAGGTTTCTCTTCTATTACCAAAAATCAAGGTTTTCAGGAGCAACATCAGATGAGAAGCGTATGATTGTAGAGAGTGTTGCGGAGATGCTCTTTTCCCTTCATTGGAGTTCTGTTTCTTGCAAGAACTTATTTGGGATTCTTCGGGTGGCTTTGAGTTTGAATGTAAACAAATGTTGTCGGAACAGATTAGAAAGTATGATTGGTTCGCAGCTGGATCAAGCAACACTTGATAACCTTCTTGTACCTTCTCCTCCTGGTGTGGCTTATCTGTATGATGTGAATCTGGTTCTTAGGTTCTTGAGATCATTTCTTCGAGGAGGGGGTTGTTGGGTGTCTTCTGCTCGATTGAAGAAGGTTGGTAGCTTGATGGACTTATACATTGCAGAAGTGGCGCCAGATTCCTGTTTGAAACCTTCGAAGTTTGTTGCATTAGCCGTAGCTCTGCCAGAATCTGCAAGAGACTCTCATGATGGAATATACCGGGCAATGGACATGTATCTCGAGGTGTAATATTACATTCTCAGAATTCCTTTCTCCAAGTATATGCAACTTTAGTGGAGTGTCAAGTGTCAACTCTGTTGATTTATCTTCTGTCAATCTCAGAAACACTCGAAATTTATGATTCTTTGCAATATATTTTGATTTGTCTAGTGAGAATTAATATGGGGATGTGGGGTGATTGATTTTTCTTTTCCTTTTGGTTGATCAGATCTCTGAGAAGGGTTGGGAATGACAAAATGAGCTTGGGTTCTACTAAAAGTAGAGATGTAGACATAATTTCAAGCCATTAATTTTGTCTAACGTTTGAACTGAAATGGGACTTCTGCAGGTCCATGCTGGACTATCGGAGGAAGAGAGGATGAAGATCTGTTGTGCACTGAACTACGAGAAACTCTCATCAGAAGCTTGCAAACACCTCGCTCAAAACTCAAAATTTCCATCAAGAACAGCTGTCCAGGCCCTCATATCCCAACATTCCAAGCTCAAAAGTTTAATCCAGGACACGAGCTATGTCAAACCCATTAGTGATTCGCCCTTCAGTTACTCTGAGAAGGGAACTAAGTTAAAGAAAGTTGAGGATGGAGATCAAGTGGTGCTATATGCAAGAAAGCTTGATCTTTCAAGCGAGAATGAGAAGCTCAGAGCACATTTACAAGGGATGCAATGGAGGGTGATGGAATTGGAGAAGGTTTGTAGGAAAATGCAAACCCAAATGGCAAAAATCATGAAGTCAAGACTATCGAGCTCTAGCAATGCCAGATCCTTGCCCAGGCTCTGTTCCTGATGGAAATTTTTACTCCTTTTTTTGTTTTAATTTTAATAATTTCCAATACAATTATTTGTATAGTATCACAAAATGGGTGTGCATAATGTAAGAAATCCATCTCTTTTTTGCAAAAGTAAAGTTTCATCTTCTTTTGGTTTTTGGTGTGCACAAAAGCAAAGATGATTGAGAGTAGCTTCTTTAACAGAAAAAAAGAAAAAAAAAATGAGATCTTGGCTGTACTGATGGAGAGAGTACATGTATTTCTTTTCGTAAATGTGAGGCTGTTTTTATTATCTACCCAGGTATATATGAATGGTCTCCAAGGTATAGTCCCTTTCCATCACCTTCATGTAGTGTATTGATGTAACTGCAAGTTGACAACTGGTCTGCTATACAGTATAAAAGCGAAGAACATATTATGGGGTAAATCAAAAGCTGAAGACAGAAATTGGTTCCTGAAAAATCTAAAAGTACGTGCTAAAACCATCGACCTTTTTTCATTAGAAAGACAATCCAAGTCTATGATTTTAATTAATTGAGACTGTAATCTGTTCATTGTAGTATATCAGCACCTACACAGAATCATGCAAGTGTCATCGATTTCATATCTTTTTTTTTCTTGCTTCTTTCTGTGTTTTTACTTTGGCAGAAGGATTGAATGAAGCCGACAACAATTCCTTACATCCTCCTCCAGTGGGATAAAGGAATGGAAATTATAAAAAGAGTCACCCAACCGATCAGGGTCTTCCATTGACTTATACCGATCCAAAGAGGCCAAGACCTACCTCCTGACTACTTTTTCTGCTTTGTCCACGCCAGTTAAGCCAAGGGAAACGACGCTAATAAGTAACTAGAAGCTTAATTTATTCTGGGGCTGAACCGCTGAAATCAGATTCAGGGGAGAGATGCGGCGACTCAGGCAGGCGTTTAGTAAAGATCCGGCCATTGATGTGATGGATTGCACTGACATCTCACACACCATCTCCTTTTGAGCTTCATTTCATCACTTTGATAATCCAAAATTTTCAGGGTTATTTATGAAGTTATGCATTTAACCACTTCCCTGAAAAATCAGCGTATCCGTGGACCCTTTCCATCATTTTCAGAAGCGAGACAGACGCGGTAGCCAGTATTAATTTACTGCCAATGTCAAAGGGTTTGTAAGTTGTATTTGTAGCGACTAGCGAATGCAGACATGTATAAGATAAGACCGACTCAACTCAGTGTACTGAGTGGTGAGTCAACTGACCGCGTCAGATATAAGACTGGCCAAGGGTACGCGCATTATAGGTCCACCGCCACCGCCCCCAGCCCCAGGTGAAGCCTCGTACTCGTACTGAAGCCTGAAGGGGGGGCAGTGGGGCACCAACTCGCAAATCGCAAGCATTTAATAGTAATAATACAAGAAAAACCGGGAGCGGGAACGGCCAAAAATAACCAAAACGATTTGAGTCGCATTGAAACTTGAAAACCCCTAAACCTAAAGCAACAAAAACTGAGTACCATCACATATTTTGATATTCTACTATTTCTTCCCTGTTCGAGTCTGTCGACAAACAGTAAACAGAGTGGTCTTAGAGATAGACGTATTTTTTCTATAGACTGTAGAGATACGCTTAAGCAGATGGTTCACTGAACCAGAAATGGAACGGACACCAAACAGGGAGGTAGCTAGATAGTAGTTAGTAGTTACCCACCAACGGGCTGGTTGACTGGTTCATGGTGTTCGACAGTTCCATTTACAAGGCGGTTCCCTGTGTAACAATGAGCAGGAATGTCGCCAGGCAAGACGCAAGATCAAGATGTGACCACAAGAATCCTTTAAATAGTACAGCTATGTGCGTGTATATGTAGAAGCAGAGCACCAAGTTTGATTGACATACAAAGTGATCCAACAAAGAGATTTGGCTCAGTTGGCCACGTCGGTGAGCAGGAATCTTCCATGCTCTGGCCTTCATTGTTCATGTAGTGCAAAGGTGCTGCATGTGTTCATCAATGGTCAAATCGCTTCTGCTTGTGGGGGCAACAAACTTTTGCACAACAGTCCCTACCATTGCCACTTGGCAATCTTTCCTTCTGGGCATCCTTCTTTACTTGCTGAAACTTCAATTGATAACTTGTTTTACTTGAAAGGAAGACGTGAAATGTAAAGCAGAAAAGGACTGGCCACCAAAGGGATGGCCCCTTCACAGTACAGACTCAGAGCTAGGGTGGTCTTACTTCCTTACTTCACCATGGGGGATGGCTTGGAGATTATTAATAAAAAGGAACGAGTAATGTAATAGAGGCAATAGAGCAGAGGTGTTGTAGTAGGAAAGAGGTAAAAAAAGAGTTTAGTGTGTAATGTAAGATAGTAATTAAGATGGATTGATTATTACAATCATCCTTGCATCATCAATACGCCAGCCATCAAATGCCAAATGTAAGTGGATGGTTCACGTGGTCGTGAAACCATGAACCAGTCGTACTCCACTCCACTACATATTGTCCCTTGCTTCCTCAACTATAGTCTATATATTATTAACATGTGTGGCCTAAATGTGTTCCGTGTACCTCTTCTCTTTACTGTTGTGAGTCTACAACTCTTTTCATCATTCAAGTTACAAAGAAAAGACCCTTGTTCAAAGCATATATCGCTTTCAACTCTGCACTGATCTGCACCATTATGAAAGCAGACTTATAATGTATTTTCATTTTGATATGTTGCGGGCTTTTCTCCTTTTCCTCCTCTCTCACTTATTCCACATGATCATATCAAATGAAGTTTTGAACAAATGCAGATTTACCTAGCTATTCCTCTAGATATTCATCATAGGTCTGGATGGAGGGTGATTTGGCCCGAACTCATCATAAGAGGACACGTGCACGTGAGTCAATATAAGTGATAACTCAGTGCGATCAATCCGTCAAGATCCAGCGTGGCAGTTCGCTACAAGATGACACTCTCATTACCCCGAATTAAGATTCTTCCAGGTAGGAAGCGCCCCGAGCTAAGATTCTCCTAAGACGGGAATCTCCCGAGCTGAAGGCACTTCGGGTTGAGCTCAACAGCCTCCTAAGAATAAACTCCCCCCTGTCCAAACTCAAGTAGGCCACCTCGGGTAGAAGCACCTCAACATAGGGTAGCTCGGTACAAAGTAGCTCAGGGCAGAGCAGCTCGGCATATCACAGGAAGATCTCCTACCTGACAACCGTACCTGTCAAATCTGGAGACTGTGCCCACGTCTCTCGCCAGGCGGTGTCGTGCCTGCCAACCCTAAGAGGTGTCCCTTGTCTGGCAGGGCCGTACTCTACAACGGTTACCTGCGCCCACCAGCTCAGTCTGGCAAGTAACGGTTGCGGTAGAGAATCAAAGGCGGTTATACCTGATTTGTCAGAACATCAGTATATAAGAGCTCCAACCCCCAAGAGCAAAGGTAACTTGCGTGATCTGCACTCTAGCCCTTTCATTTTTGCTTTGCAACTCTCTCTTCCTGCTACTAACTTAAGCATCGGAGTATTCCCGCCGAGAGAGCTCCCCAGGGATCCTTCTTCTTCCTCACAGGTATCTTGTCCGTCGCCAACTAGGAGCGCAGCTGCTGCCAGCTAGGAGTGACCAGATCGCGCACCATCAATTGGCCTTGTCTGTGGGAACGCTTCGAAAAGCCTTCTTGCACCAAACTTTGCAACTTCAGTTTCCATGGCTTCCTCCAGCAGCGCCGGATGCAGCGTAGAAATGAATGCCGTCAGGGAGCAAATTCAGGTCCCAGCAGTATGTATTGGACAGTTCACCGTCCCCCTCTCTACGGATGGAGTTCCTACTTTGAACATGCCTCAGATAATGGCACCTGTGAACGCTTCACTCCCCTCCATGGTAGGAACAACTTTCGCCGAACCCTCCATTGTTCCTCCGATGACCGGCCAAAACCAGCTTGAAGACCTGGTGCACTGCATGCGAGCTATGCTGGCTCAAATGCAACAGTTTCAACAGTTTCAGCTGTATCAGCAGCAAGTGTTGCACCAAGTCTATCAGCACTAGTACCAACAACAGTTTCCACCACTGCCTCAGAACCAGCAGCCGGTTCTGCCTCGGCATCCAGCCGCACAACCAGCTAAGCATCGTCATCAGAATGAACACCCCCTTTGTCGGGGAGAGACCTCCGAAATCCAAAACCCTCTTGGTAGTCGGGTGTCATCCTGTAGGAGTGAAAAACTAGACACTCCTCCCGCCTCGCAGCATGTGAATAGGTCGAAAGACCTTCAGCCTGTCAAACCCGCATCACCTCGGTTCTCAAAGTTCGAAATCCCGCTTATGGAAAATTAGTTCAAGGTCCTGGCCGCAGACTCCAGGCATGGTCCCTCCATTCGTAGCCTTCACCAGCAGTCCGAGCCACTCCCCGCGAGAATGGTGCCTGACAACACAAAGGCCAGCAGCACCAACGCAGAACCAACAAAAAAGCAACGAAGACGTCGTAGAGCTCGCCGAGCTACAACCCAGATCCTGCTCGAACTAAAGGAAGAAGCGAGCTCGGGAGCACCAAAAGCCACTCTGCTCCTCTCTGTGCCATCTCCCGTGGCTCCCGAACTCCTTGTCATCCCAATGCCGAAAGATTTCAAGGTACCTCCCCTAGACAAGTACGATGGATCATTCGACCCAAATGATCATGTAGATGCTTTTCAATCACAGATGCACCTAGCCGGAGCAAGTGAGTCCTGCATGTACGTAGCTTTCTCTACTATGTTTAAGGGGGTAGCTCGCACATGGTATAGGAACCTCACATCCGGGTCAATCAAAAGCTGGGCGCAGTTCGTACAGATCTTTACTTCGCACTTTGTCTCCAGCAAGAGATGCCTGAGGACCCAAGAAAGCCTCCTCGGCATAATCTAGAGGGAAGGGGAGTCCATCCGCAACTACATCAAGAGATTCAATGATGCATGCCTACAGATACCTGACCTGGACCCCGCGGTGAGGCTCACAACAGCCAAAAGAGGCATGACGCACAAGGAGTTCAAGTGGCACGTGGTTGTCAACAGACCTAAGGATGTAACTGAATTCCTCAAGCTCGCGGACTAGTTCATCAGAATGGAGGAGGAGATGAACCAGAAGAGCGAGAACCTGCCTGAGAAGAGGAAAAGAGAAGGTGAGTCCTCGACCCACGGGGACAGCAAGAAGAAGAAAGAACCTGCTCAGGGAGGAAGGCCAGATCAGTCTTTCCGATCTCCTCCAGCCGAAAGGCCGAACTACATGCCATTGAATGCGAAGCGAGCTAAAATCCTCATGGCAAT